CCTAGGTGCTCTACCTGCCGCCGCAACTGCTCCGTCTCAAAAACACTCTGGCGACTGAGTTGCTCTAACTTGAACTCATTCTGCCTACTCTGCAGACGAAGTGACTCATTCTGATGCTGCAGCCCTTCCATAGATTTGAGCAGGGCCTCTTGATCCTCTCTCAGTTGTTCATTCTCCTTGAGCAATGCACTTCCTGTGGGCGGCCTGTGTCCCCGTGCAGACCACTGAGTAAGGTATTCACCTTCTTGGCTGATCGGGGATGCTAAACATCCGCAGGCTGTCCATACGTCATCATCTTCCCCATCTTCTGTGCATAGTGGAACGGATCGCACTGTAGATGGTGGAACAATGTCCCTCTTTCTGTACCCAGTAAGGTCATAGTCGTTGAAGTGTGGTGGGAGGCATGACTGCCTCCTGACACGCACACCGGGTTCTTCTTCCATCCTCTGGGACATAGGTGGTCTGTAGTGAGCTCCTATCCGGCTCGAAGGACCATTAAAAGGAGGCAGGGCTGTGTATGCTTGCCTCTCTGACTAAACCTGACTTCTTTTACTGGTATGGGAAAGATTAGCCCACCACAGGTGATCTATCAGAATCACGCAGGGTCCCAGGGTCCAGTTCAAACTCTTTAATGAACAGTAAACATTTCAAACAAGCTTCCCGTTGCTAGGTCAGTACTCCTGCGTACAGACTTTACTTTGCGTGTGGTTTTCCTATAAAGCAATATTCAACAGTAACACAAATAAACCAAGGTAGTTGAAACTTATATGCAAAATATTACAATATAAAATACAGATGTATGTTATTCTACAACATACTCCTTAACATATCCTTTAGGCAATATTAAGCCCCTGAGCATCAGGCCTTTATAGCCTTATAACTAACTATGTGGTTATCTAACTACTCCACATGTCCATAATTTAGTAAACATTATTATACCAGATTAAACATCAACGCGTTATAGAAGGTTTAGATGGTTTAGGCATAAACAGGCTAGACTTTCTATATTGCTTAACAGCTTCATTATTACCTCTCTTTAGATCGTTAGGCTAACAGAATATGGGCATGGGCAAATTAGCATGGTAACCGTGAGGAAGCGCACTTACTAAACATCCATTAATGCTACAGTACGTTCACACCGCAAGCGTCAAAGACGCCAGCCGTCGCTCCCGCCGCCCTGAACGTGACGCTAGCCAACGCCGGAGACGCTCTCTGACATCA